AAATCAAATCAAATCAAATCAAATCAAATCAAATCAAATCAAATCAAATCAAATCAAATCAAATCAAATCAAATCAAATCAAATCAAATCATATCAAATCAATAGCTTGGGATTGTCCAACAGCTTTTTGTCTAGCCAGGGTATGCTTTTAGCAAATATTCAAATCGTCAGATTGCAAAGATATAGGGATAAGAAAATTTGAGTTTGTTGCGAAAACTTAATTCCTTTACTTTTTCCTTTACAACAAGATTTAATATAATCTTAATGCCACATAAAAAACCTTTTCACCTTACTGTCTGGTTTAGTTGGTGGCAGAGGAGGTGCAAATGGCTGCGGGGTTGGCGCTGAAGGTTGAGGGGTGGGACAAACTCCAACTGTTATAGGAGTTGAGCGAAAACCGCCCTCCCCAAGAGATCTATAGAACCCACTTGAAATTGTAGGATCAAATTGAAGTTCGTCGTTAAATTCATCTACATCAGAAAAAATTTCATAATTTCAGGAGTTTGTCTTTCCGGAGTTTGTCTTTCCGGAGTTTGTCATGGCACCGAAAAAACAACTCTTCTTGATATCTATTCCCAAATCGTTAAAATCGAAAAGTGCCCGAGCAGGGACCCTTAGGGTCATAAAAAAATTGTTTAATAAACCTGTCCTTAAGCACCTCATTAGCTACCACTCTTATATATAGTATATATATTATGGATTGAAGAACTCTTACATTTTAAGGATATAATTGGTAAACTTAATTAGGTAGCTTAATGATTCAGGAATATCTGGAGAGGATAAAGAGTAAGGAGTCCACATTTGAAGAGCTTGCATCAAAGTAGGTTTTCTGTCTTTTAAGCTTTCTTTTTCATGCATTTATATAAATAATAAAATGATATAATATGTATGTTTAAAAGTTTTAAGCTGTATATTTAAAAAAAATAAAAAAATAAATAACTGAAAACAAGTTTTGTTTTCTAAAACAAAACTTGTTTTCAGTTATTTAGATTTTTATGATTACGTTTTAGATACAGTGACTGCAGTTCTGCAAAGAAAGGAGGAGATCTTGGATTGTTTGGACCTGGTAATTATATACTCTACTTCATATAAACTGGATTTTTCTTTACACTAATTCATCACCTAAACTACTTTTAAATAGATTTAAAACTTCAAAATATTTCCTCCAGGTCAAATGCAGAAACCCTTTGAGGACGCTACCTTTGCTCTCGATGTTGGAGAGATGAGTGAACCTACCTTCACTGATTCTGGAGTACACATCATTCTCAGAACAAAATAGATCTCAAATCGTATACTCAATTATTTGTATGCTTAATATTGTTTCGTTTCAGCATGTTAAGCAGATTTATGTTAGGCTGCAAAAGAACTCAAATAGTAAATGTATGATCCTACATGTGTCATTTCAACCCAACAAGTCTGTGGTTTTTAATCGATGTAATTATTTTACAATCTAGCGGGCTTATTTTTTCAGCTCAAAATGAATCGCGAAAGCCATATTGTTCAGAAGCCTCTGAGACCACCACCTTCTATGCTAAAGCAAAAAGCCATGGCTTTCGCATTACAAAACTCCCAAGGGTAATTGTAATTTGTAATTTATCACTGAAGTAAATCTATGATTTTCTAATCAGTTCTATATAATTCTTATGAATTCTTGTTTTAAAAAAAAAATTTTTTCTCCAAAACCTTAAAAATTGAGTCTAATAACCCGGCAGTATTTAAATTTCTAAAAAACTATATTTTTTAGGAGGGATGTAAAATGTAAGTAGGATTTTCATAAACTTATTTTAGATTATATACAAGAAAATTTGAATTCTGGTTTTTCTGAAAATAATAACAACGTATTCTTGTATAACACAGGTTTATATTTTGAAAAAAAAATGTTTCTTTGGGGTAAACAATATTTTCCCTCTGTTTCTGATACTTTTCACCCCCCCCCCCTCCTAAAAAAAATTGTCTAAGAATATATAAACCCCTGCAACAAATTCATGTTTAGGTCCGACATGAAGAGTTCTATACAATCGTCACCGCCGCCACCGCCACCGCCGAATATAACTTACACACAGTCAAGGTCTTTGAAGGATCCAAGGTTAATTAATTGATAAATTATGATTTTAAACCATCAAGGAAGAATAATGCAAGAGAGAAGTCTTCCATATTCGACAAAGAAATTGTGGGAAGTTAATACCAAGAGGGGGGGGGGGGAGGAAAGCTCAAGGATTTAGTCAGTCATATTGACGTTTTGAATTTTCAGAAATGACGAGCTTTACAATTATTTTGTTAGGTTGAACAGACAAGGTGTAGATAGAACGACCAACCCATCCATTCATGAAGTAAATATCCCAGAAACTAGGAAATCAGACACAGACCATATCTTGGATACAAATACGTACTTTTATAATCAGCCGAGGAAAGATGATCTTGGAAGAAACTTTTCTGGAGCTATAGATAATAGATTACATTACAAAGAAGAGTTTAGACCTCCAGATGTTGTAGTTCCTACACCACAGCGCAGAGATAGACGAGATATCTCAGAAAAAGGAGATTATCATAATCCTGGGTTTCAGTTGGAGGCGTCTAGGTCGGGATTATACAGTTGCCAAAGTCAAATAGGCAATCAATCAGTATGTTATGGTAAAAAAAATGTATCCGATAAACACAGGGTCAACAAGGAAGACTCAAGAACTGTTAAAAACTACGATGATATTGCAGGTATTTCCATTTAACATTAAAGAACTAGCTACAACTAAATTTTGTGTAATTAAGATGTCGAAGGAAAGTTCTCAGATGACGAAGAAAATTTCCCATCCTCCTTGTTACCTCCACCTCCTCCTTTCCTTGCACCTGAAACCATACAAGAATCTCTAAGACAGTTTTCTGAATCAAACTTACTAATCTCTTCACCAGAATCAGTTTCTCCCAAAAAGTTTCAATCTTCTGATTCTCCTAACAAGAAGATGTCAAATTCAAGAGATGTTTTTAAAGATCGTGACGAAGCGTTTTTACGTTATTCGGGTTCTGAAAGGCAAAGTTCTCCAGAAGTTCATTCTTTTTTATCCGCTAGATATAGTCCCTCAAGTACACCTCTTCTAGAAAGTTCCTCTCCACCCCAGTCCTTAGATTCATTTCTCCTCTCACCATCCATTAATCAAAAACAAAGTGAACCAAGTTTGAGGTATAAATTTTCCAATTTGTTGTAAAATTTTCGCGTAAACGCCTGCTGTAAAAAAATTTGAAACTTAGTAAGTAAAGATTGACCCTAAAAACGGAATTAGGCTTTTCAGCCCTTTTTATCCTTTAAAAACTAGAGATTGTGCTCTATTTTATGGGAATTTAATATTTATATATTACAGAATTTCAATTATAGAGGGGATCGTTAAACTAATTTTCTGTCGTTTAATGCTTCTGTTTGGCATACAACTATGCCGAATGATGGAATATCTCATTAAACAGCTAACCAATGTTGTTAAAGAAAAAAATACAAATATTGATCTAAAGTGAACCCACTAAGATGTTTTCTTCTGGGGCGTTCTGAAATCAAAGGTGTATATAAAGTCTGGATAAAATTCAAAAAGAGATGCAGCAATCTCGGCTCTAGGTCTCTGAGCTGCTTTGATGAAGCTTAGAAAAATAGGTCAATTTTTTGAATTGCGGAAAACGGGGGCCCCTTAAAGGAATCATATAATTTGTTTATTAAAAAATGATGAATATAATGTTAATGACATCTAAGCATATTTACTTTTCTCTACGAGATAGAATTAAATAGATTGTTCAAAAATTGTTAGTTGTTCAAGGTGAACAGAGAGGTGTTCAAGGTGAACAGAGAGGTGTTCGAACATTCGACATAGTTTTACTCATAACGGAAGCATTGAACAACAAAAATAATTAATTAATACTAGGTCAATTTTTTAGTCATTTAAAATTTTTTACAATGCTAAACAGCGCTAATCCCGGAATTTTGGGCCACCCTGTAAATTAATGGTTTGGTTAAAAGTCTTAAAATTGACAAATTATTTGGTTGGAAATGAGGAACCTTTTTTGGACTTAAAGGGACTGCAGAGGAAAAATGTAAGAGGGTATAGGATGAAACCTGAAAATCTCAGGTTTCATCCTATACCCCCTTTCATTTTCCTGTACAGTCCCTTTAATAATTATTAATATAATGTTTCCTCTCTCCTGGCATGAATTAATTCCATGATATTTTACCAGGGGCAATGAAGAGGAGTCATTAGAAAGATTAAAACCCTTCAAAAGCTACAAGAATATGTCATCCGGATCTTCATTTAATCCTCAAATCAATTCTGGATCAGGAACAACCCCAGCTCCACAACCGAAACCGTTCGAACCCTCAAACCCTCTTCTGGACTTTTTTGGAATAAAATTTAAGCCGATTGAAAGCCTTAGTATTTGCCCAAGTGATTTAAAATCTACAATAGAAATTCGCAACGATATATTTGCAAACTCTGGCTCAAATCTGATGAGCCGACCCGAAGCCACCCCTTACGTTGTTTACGATAATAGGAATGAAGATACACTACTTCGCTGTTCAACCATCCAAAACAATATCAATTCTACAAACAATGGGTAAGGGTTTAAGTTGTTATCTTTAAATCGGATTATTAATAACAATATATCTTTAGATAATGGCTCACATGTATTTATTTTTGAAAATTATTGATCTAAAAGTCTATTTTACCCCTTTTTTGTGAATAAAATGTGTTTTTCATGATCTGAGAGTTACGAGGATTTTTGATAATGAAAACGACATTTTCATATCTTCCAGGAATGTTCGAAAATCCAGCGCCAGCGAAAATTATTTAAAAAAAATCAAAAATATTATGAAATATTAACTATATACGAATGCGTCGAAAAATAATCGATGACTACTGTTTGTAATATCTGAATGATTTGTTTGGAATTAAATTGATTTGTTTACGATCCGAGTTGAATGTTGCATCTTTCCGAATTTGTATGGACACTGCGTTCTTCGGTGTGAATTTTCTCCTTTTAGACGCAACAGATAGAAGTAAGATTAGTAGCGATCAAAAGCGATTTTTTATCGCATTAAGCCTATTTCCCCTTTCACTGTTCGCGAACACCCCCTTTAAAAAAGCTGCACTGCGGTCCGATTAAAAAAAAAGAAGTAAACCGATGAAGAGCTTTAATTTTCACAATTTTTAATTTAAATATTAAATCTCTACTGATACGTTAAGGGTTAATGCTGCCGAGTTCGAAAAGATTCCTGAAGAATCCCAGCCTCAGGAATTTCAAACTTATAACATATCTCAAAAGTTTTGTATGAATACTTGAGTAGTTTTTACTAATTCTATTGATATGCCATGCCTTTCAAGTTTCTTTCTTAATTTTTTATTTTTAAGAAAGTTTTTCAAGGTATTTTCGAACAGAAATGTTATCCTTTAGTGACGTAAAATGTGTATAAATATTGATTGATTTCAAAGATTTTGATTATATTTTGAACATGAGACCATGAATACTAAGTTTATAAGTTAAATCAGATTTTGTCTGCGCCTCCTCCTGTGATAAAGCTGGATTCACCTGAAATTAAGGAAAAAAATTACTTCAATAAATTCAGTTATTCAAGTATCTATGAATATATAAAAAGTACTAATCACTGTTTGTCTGTTTGATTGGATATCCTGTGATATGCCTTTAATTTTGATTGGGAAAATCTGTAGAACTAAGGGAATGTTATTAGATTGCTTGAACATTCTTAGTTGAGTTTGACGATTATTAGTGAAAGTTTTGTTTTTACCACATGGGATTTTATCATCAAAAAATTAAAGTCTACATCATTTAAAAATAATTATTTTGTTTTCAAAAAGATGGATGAGAAAGGAATGATGCGCTGCAACTTTTGCTCAAGCCCTGGTTCTATCAGGAATCTAACCAACTCTGTTGAGTTTATTATAATACAAAAAAACCAGATTTTTACAAACTGCATTACACATCTGAAGTAAAAAATAATTATGACATCTGGTGGTAAAATTGACAATTTGGTTGGATTTTAGAATTGAGGACAAATTCGTACACATGGACTTTCACAAAACCCTTCAGTTTGCTTGTGCTGCCTGTCCGAAGAATCGTGAATTTGAAGATTTTCCTCAAATAGTTGAACACGTTAACAGCTCTCACAACGTCATCGATTCTGAGATGGTTCTGGAAACTATAATATTACCGACAAAACTTGGTAATACATTGAAATATAATTCATAGTATCAATGTAGATTAAAAACAGGAAATTATGAAGTTTAAGTTCACATTGATTTTAGGAACTCGGGTTTGCTATTGCTATCGTCATTTTGTTTTTGATAACTTGAAGGTTACATTAGGTTGAATTGTGACATACAAGATTAATAAGGGTAAAAATTGCGGGTTTGCGCTGCAGCTTGTAAAAACTGAATTTTTTTTATAACTACATGGTAACTAACCTTTTGAAAAGTTGATGTTCTTATCTTGCAATATATACTATACACAATGTTTCCTTAAGGGGCTCTTCGAGTTTACAAGTGTGGAGTAACGAACTGTGGCAAAGAGTTTATTGGACTTCAGGAAACTGATCTGAAGGATCACATGAGCAGGGCTCATGGTGATTACTATATAAAGGTGAGACTATTCCTGCCATTTTAAAATTGCTTAAATTCCTATTCTGCTCAGTAAAGTTTGAATTCTTTAGACATTAAAATTACATTAAAATCAAAAAATTTGCTTTTCGCTATTTATTGATTTGAAAAGGCAGGGATTGCGAAGTTTCCTGACTATTCTTAGCCTAGCTATTACTTTTTAGGCTTTTTTGGACACTTCTTTTATTTCATATGACGGAACCCCTATTTTCTGGGAAATGAGGGGAAAATTTGAATGCTGCCTTATTGAACAAAAATGGTTTTACCTATTTTTTTGGTACCAAATTGAGTAAAGAATTTTTTTCACTGATCAGATTTGGTAGCAAGACGGTTCCACGTGGATTTAACGGTTCTGTCAATATTTTAGAAAACTGTGACTTTCGATCACAATTTGACCCCTTTTACATAATGTTATGGCCTTTTCTCTTAAATATTTTTTTTGTTGGCATATACATTTTCAATGAGAAATTATAAAATAAAAAATCCGTAAGTGATTGTAGAAATATATACGAAAACACGTTTGATTTCAAATAAAAGAAACCGAATGTTTCTCTCTCTGGTTAGTTCGGGGTGGTTCAGCTAAATTTGTTCAGTTATTTATTAAATCTGGCCCTAGACGAATTAATGAATAGATTTATTTAGAAATATTCAGGTTGGACGGGGCAAGTATGTGCTTCGTCTATGTAGGATTTGTGGAGATGAACAATCCTTCACCTCCCAGGCAGAACTAGATCTTCATATTGAAACTAGTCACCCAACTCAACAGTTTGGGTCAGCAATCGACATCTCAGACGAGTCTGATACGGAGAATATGACAGACAACCTTCTTGATAATCTGAAGTAAGCTGAGATACAATCTAAATTTTATGTATTTTATAATTTAAAACTGATTTTAAGTCTTATTCATGGTAAACCTTATTTTTTTTAGTAAATCTCGTGACAAGCTCATAGTTGAAGCAAGAACATCTCTCGAAATTCCGGTTTTTGGGCGTCCTTTGACTGCAAATGTTCCTGAGGTATCTGGATTCGGAAGACCATTAGAGACTGGCCTTGATAACCCTGTCTTTGGCCGAGTTATTCCTGAAGATATAGCAGTTTTTGGGAAACCCTTGCCAGGTCCGTATCTTATTTTCATTTAAAATCATCTGAAAGGTACATTAGTTATTTTCAGAAATTATTGGGTTAACACAATAAATTATTTGTTAAACTTTCAAGAATCTATTTTAGAAGGCACTTTATCTTTAAAATAAATCCTACTATCATCATGCAAAACTAGTGCTGAATTCCTTATTTTTTTTATAATATCTTAGGTGACTCAGAAAGAACATCAGACGTAGAAGAGAAAGAAGAGGGAGAGTTACGGGATACTGATACTGAAACAGTCCTTGATACAAGAAAGAAGAGAAGAAAAGAAAAAAAGAAGAGAAAGGGTAGACTTAATCCAGAAAGGAAAAGTGATAGTAAAGAGGAATCTGATTTATCTACCAGAGAAAACTCCCCAATACCAGAGATTAACATCAAGAAAGAAAAACCGGATAGTAAAAGAAGGAAAACAGGATGCAAACCCAAATCTTTAAAAGAAGAAGTGTTAAAAATGACGCCTAGAGAAATCAAACGGTACTTAAAACATATAAAGCATAAAGTTAAGAAAACCAAGAAGAAGAAAGATGAAAAGGGGGAAATTTTCCCTGAATTTGTTAGAGGAGAAAAGGCAGTTTATTATTGTAAAATCTGTAACGAGCATGTCGGTAGTTTAAAGAAATGGTTGGAACACCGAAAAGAACTTGGACATATTGAAACTTTCGATATGGCCAGTGAGGAGGTGAAGATCAAATTTAATCGTCCTGAGATCGATCTTCAAGAGTTCATTATTTCAAATCGAAGACTTGACTTCATTCCTTCAGGACAATGCAAGGATTGCTTTAAAATTTTTGATCATGAAAAAGGGTTTAAAAAACACATGAAAACTGGAAAATGCCCAACCATTTCCAATGATAGTGAGCATTTGAAATCTGAGGAAGAAGATACATCTCTCTGTAATAGATTTAAGGTAGATGGATTAACAAATAAAAGAAAATCTTTAATTTCTAGAAGTAGATCCCCCAAGGACCAATCACACTCTCCAGATTCTCAGCAAAGAAAACAACGGACAAGATCCGCGACCCCTTTGTATAAAAATAGAAATAAAAGCAAAGATTCACGTAGTATACAAGATGTTTCAGTAATGCTGCCAAAGTACATGATGAATGGAAAACAGGCATACTATTTTTGCAATATGTGTCAAATACCAATAGGAACTATCATACATTGGGCCGTTCATAAAGACACAAAGGAACATCGTCAGAACCATCAGAGTTGTTTAAAGAGTAGTCAAGGCGTTAAAGTTGTTGAGTTTTCAGTGTCCTCTATTATTTGTTCCAAAAATTACAGAAACTACTGCTTAGCTTGTGACAGTTATTTACCAGATATGCCTTCATTTACTAAGCATCTGAGTGAGGAAAAACATAAAGAACAGGAGATAAGAAAAGAAATTAAAGATGGCAATGAGCTAAGACAAGGTGGGGAAAGATTTTTATCGATTTACTATTGCGATCTTTGTGAAAAAGTTTTTGAAGAAAACCCAAAGAAACACAAGTTAAGCAGCAGACATTTGATTCTTGTAGAAGAAACAGAGCAATGCTACTTCTGTTCTAAGAGGTATATCCCGGGTATGCTCGTAGCTCACATTGATGAATATCATGTTAACCATGTTTTCAAGTGTACTAATTGTTCTGTTAAGTTTATCAGTGTGAGTAAAATGTTGAAGCATGTAAGAGATCATCTGACTTCTGTACAGAGAGACAGCTGCACAGACAAGGAGGTTTTGTCCATGGATATGGTAGATATTCCAGATGATTTAAGGAAAATAATGTGCAGGCTATGTGACAAGGCCTGTTTTCTAGCCCAAGATTCTTCAGATGCAAAACTTCATGTTTTAAACGATCATCTAGATGTGTTGAAGACACAGGTTCCAAGCAGTCTTGTGTATGGTTGTAGGGTATGTGAAGTAGACTTGAAGACAGAAATTGAAATGGACAATCACATAAAGCTTCATAAAATGGAATTGTGTAAAGGCAGAAAAAGTGTTAAAACTATTTATAAAGAAGCTTCTTTGTCTCCAGTTATTTTAAAGCATGATGATATGTATCATGTTGGTAGGTCTGCTAGGTCTAGAACTAGATCTGGAGATAAATATTCAAAAACCCGAGGCAAAGATTATCGAAATGTTGAACAGTCAAGAAAATTATCTCCCCAGTTCAAAGACAGAAGATCAAGTTCTCCACAGAATCGCAGACTTAGCAATAGAAAAGATTATTTTTCTCAGGCACATCTCAGCCCTGAAAGGCACTCCAGACGACTAGACCACAGCCTGGATACTCGTAGGTCTGATGTAGAACATTATGTGGGTAGTTACAGGTAGGGTTGTTAATCGTTTTTGTAAACGATCGTTAAACGATCGTTTTTTGTTTCGTTTTCAAAAACGATCGTTTCGTTTTCAGAAAAAACGATCGTTTTTAAAAACGACCCACTCGTTATGAACTTTTAGAAAACGAATAGCGATCGTTTTTGAAAACGATCGTTTTTATTAAAACGATTTGCGACCGTTTTTTATACGATTGTTTTTAAAAAAACGATCGTTTTTGAAAAAACGATCGTTTTTGAAATTTTTTGTTGTTGACAATTATGTTAATGATCGTTAACGAAGGGTCGTCGTTAACGAAGGGTTGTCGTTAACGATCGTTAACGAAACTACGAACTTTATCAAAACGGTTGTTTTTGGAAAAAAATTACATGCAACTTTATTGAATGTCGTCTTACATGATGTGTAACAGTTGTGGGGGAGTTAAAACTCCTTGATATTTTCTTAAAAACTACTCAATGATAAGTACAGATGCCCTTCAGGTCGGTTTCCTCTCTTCGTTAACGATCGTTAACGAAGGGGTCGTCGTTAACGACCGTTAACGAAGGGTCGTTGTTAACGATCGTTAACGAAGGGTCATCGTTAACGATCGTTAACCAAGGGTCGTCGTTAACGATCGTTAACGAAGGTCCGTCGTTAACGATCGTTAACAAAACGACGAATTTTATAAAAACGATCGTTTTGAAAAACGATCGTTTTTAAAAACGAGCGTTTTGAAAGACGATCGTTTTAAAAACGACCATTTTAAAAAAAACGAACTTTTTAAAAAACAATCGTTTTTAAAAACGATCGTTTCGTTTTCGATTTTTCGTCGTCGTTATCATAACGAAACGATCGTTTTTCTGAAAAATGAAAACGTTAACATCCCTAGTTACAGGGATAACTCATGGGTCATAGACCTGCCAAGTAAATATCAAGAGATAGATAGTGCTCATAGAGGAGAGAAGTCTCGAAAACGTGATTCTGGCTATATGGAACATGAGCATGCTATTCTTTGGGAAAATGAATATGTCAGAGAAGATTGTTACAGAGATGGTCCTTCCACTAGAAGAAATGAAAAGAGTTCAGGTAGCAATAGTGAAAAATATCATGAAGACACCAACAGACATAGATATCAGAAAGGGAATCGATCACAATCTCTTAAAGACCACACAGAAAGTTCTAAAAAACCCTCCAGGATTCAGTCACCCTCAGCTGTGCCCTCAAGAGAAGTTAGACTTGTTTCAAGGAGCAGGACAAGATCTAAATCAAGGTCAAAATCTCCAAATAAACCAAGTCCAAAGTCAAATAGTGGATTAAAAGAAGCTATGCAGAAAAAAATTAGGGAGCAACTTGAAAAAAATCAAACAAAAGAGACGTTGAAGAAAGATGACGTTTATGACCAAAAGCCTAATATTCCAGTGAAGAAAAGATTAGGGGCATTTAACATAAACAAATCAACAGTTGAATCGTCTGTTGACAGCAGTAACAGCAGCATTGTACATACTCAAGTTGAACCGATGCTCAAATCACTGCGAGAACATTGTGATAAAAACCAAAAGAATGCTGAAAAGGAGGAAGTGAAGAACAAAAAACTGGCCGAATCACAACTTCTGAATCGGTTGAAACGTAAAGCTAATGATGAAGACTTACGAAAGGTGATTGAGGAGAAGAGGGTAAAAATGTTGGATAGTCGACCTGAAGGCGTCAAAGAAGAGCAAATTCATGTAGATGATGCCAGTGACATTTGTCCTGTCTGCTGGAAACTGTTTCCTGGAATAAACAATCTATTAAATCACATGAAGATCTCACACATGACGAGTATGTTTGGATGCAAACTCTGTCAGACACTTGGTTGGAGTTTGGAGATACTACTAAAACATTTGACTGATACGCATGACAGAAATACCGCACTTCCAGATGCTCTGCAACATCATATAAAGGTGATGGTTTCTAACATTTTGATCTAAAACGTTTTGTTTATAGGAGAAATGTTTGTAATAAAACTTATGATTTAGATTCCTGACAAACTAGACCGTATTAACTGCAAACTTTGTCTACCTCCATATCAGTTGGGAGTAGAAGGGTTCTGGTTATGCGCTGATCTTCAAGCAACAAGTAATCTGCAGATAGAGAAACATTTTATCGATATTCACGGTATTTCTGATCAGGTGTCACATTTTTTATGTATTTATTCATAACAAGTTAAACGAATCTATTCATTCAAAAGTACTTACTCTCCTTTAATCCAGGTTCAAATTCACTCGAAGCTGGAATTAACCTGCCGAATATGCTGTATAAACTTCAGTGTGGGACAACGTGCTCAGTGGTGTAAACATATTCTGAGTGATCATACCAAGTAATTTTTCTTTAAATGAAGCTATTAAGTTTTAGATTTGATTTAAAATTCTTAATTTAGTGAGAAAAAAAAAACACTAAAGATTTTTACATTTTATTAAAATGGCTCAGTTGCAATGTTGATTGTTGAACTTATTTCTTTGTTCGTATTTATATAGCGATGAAAATTTAGACTAGAAAAAGCCGCCAAGACCGGAATAAGGTGTGAGTACTGTGGTGAAGGTGTACTGGAGTCTGAGCGTGGTTGGCACTTGGAGAATAAGCACGCTAAAGACGTGTTCCTATGCAGGATCTGCTCTGCTGCTGATACTGCTTGTTTTCCATCTGCAGATTCACTCAAGGTGAAAAATTATCCCATTCTTCAGTCTTCATTGCCTTCTAAAATAAATCTACGTGTGTGCCCTCTAGTATTGGTATTTCTTAAATGTGGTTTATGGTCTATGTGGAAATATGAAGAATTTCGTTCAGATTAAATTTTTTAATTTACAAAATTCCCTTAGTCCTGACATTTCCGGTCAGCCTTGTGCTAGCTATATATGAAGAATTTTGTTCAGAGTTTTTATTTAATGAATTTAATTCTGAACGAGATTCTCTATATCTTGTAATAGTGGGTTGACTTTGACAAAGATACGAAGATATTATGAGAGAATGTTTTTTTCAAATAAATATTCTATTGTTGGTATGTTTTTTGGTATTGGACAAAGTTAAGAATAAGACTTTGACAAAGTAATGCCGCAAATTATTTCAAACTTCAAAGATGATCTTAATCCCCTCTCTCAGCTGTTATGTTTCGTGTGACACCCTGCAGACAAAAAAGGATGATTATGATGGAAAATTTATGTCTAGGAGATCATGCAGCATATGGTAATGAAGCATGGTAACCAGTATGAATCCTTTTATGATCATATGACCTACCCAGTTGACCTATACCGAACCTGCTGCAGTGTAGGGGACTGTGGATCAAATGGAAAATATCTCAGTGCTGATCCAATGCTAGTTCAGGTAGATTGGTCAATGGTAAACTTCTTATTAAAACTTTTATTAAAGGGAGTGTTCTCGAAAAATGAAAGGGGGTATTGGCTTAATGCGATAAAAAGCGCTTTTGATCGCTACTAATCTTACTTCTATCTGTTGCGTCTATAAGGAGAAAATTGTTAAAGACGTCTCATACCGAATAACATGGCGTCCATACAAATTGAGAAAATTGCAACATACGACTTAGACCGTAAAAAATCCATTTAATTTCAAACAAATCAATATCCTATAGTCATCGATTATCTTTCGCCACATTTGTATATATTTGATATTTCATACTAGTTTTGATTTTGTTTTTTAAAATAATATTTAGCTTACAACTTGTTTTCGAACATTCCTGGAAAATATGAAAATGTCGTCTTCATTACCAAAAATCCTCGAAACAGGAAAAAATGTAACTCTCAGATCATAACAATGAAAACATATTATGAAAAATCAACTATATATAAATGTGCCGAAAGATAATCGATGACTATAGGTTGTAATATCTGAATGATTTGATTGAAATTAAATTGATTTTTTACGGTCTAAGTCGTATGTTGCAATTTTCACAATTTGTATGGACGCCATGTTATTCGGTATGAGACGTCTTTAACAATTTTCTCCTTATAGACGCAACAGATAGAAGTAAGATTAGTAGCGATCAAAAGCGCTTTTTTATCGCATTAAGCCTGTACCTCATTTCATTTTTCGCGAACACTCCCTTTAAAAAAACATAAATCAATATTGTTTACAAATTGGATAATCAAAAATCACAGGGTTAACAATAAGTAATATTTATCCATGTTTACCGGAACAGTGATATTTTCATCCTCCTTTGTTTAGAGAATTTATTGTTGAATTGATTTTGTAAATTTTTATAATTTTTTTGCACTCCTAACAACTTGGCTCAATGCATGAATGCATTAAAAAAAAATTTATTTTAGACTCATATCAGCGAAAATCACAGTGAACTAGTCCCTCCACCTAATATCGTCTACCTTTGTCGTTGTTGTGACAAGCCAGACCTAAAGTTTGAGGTAACATTTTTATATATTATTACTATTCTTAAAGATTTATTCACACACACATTTAATATACAATTACATATTGCATATATTAATGGTATAGTTTAAATTTGTTTTGTTAGGAATGATACCAGATGTATTCATTATTCACTCTCATAATCTCTAATTTCATAAACCTGCTATTTTAAATAAATCTTAACAATTAAAATGTAAGCAATATTTAGAACAACTCAGCTCTTAATTAAAACACATTCTATCTGCATACAGACTTTTTCAGCATATTCATGGGAGTAAAACCATTCTTGATGTTTCTATTAGACTTAACACCCACGCTAATCAAAGGGTGTACACCCATTGTAGATGTTGCAGGTAGATTGTCATCCACATTTCACACTCATCAAAGGGATCAAATTCTTATTTCTAGTAGACTTAACATCTACAATAATCAAAGGGTGTAAACCCATTTTGGATATTTCTAGTAGACTTGACATCCACAATAATCAAAGGGTGTAAACCCATTCTCGATATTTCTAGTAGACTTGACATCCACAATAATCAAAGGGTGTAAATCCATTCTCGATATTTCTAGTAGACTTGACATCCACAATAATCAAAGGGTGTAAATCCATTCTTGATGTTTCTAGTAGACTTGACATCTACAATAATCAAAGGGTGTAAACCCATTCTCGATATTTCTAGTAGACTTGACATCCACAATAATCAAAGGGTGTAAATCCATTCTTGATGTTTCTAGTAGACTTGACATCCACAATAATCAAATGGTGTAAATCCATTCTTGATGTTTCTAGTAGACTTGACATCCACAATTATCAAATGGGAACCTAAAAGGTTTCCTCTCGATCCTACAAGTTCTATAAGGGATGCGGCCCTAGTCCTCTTATAATAAGCAAACATTATGAATGCTTTCCTCCAGAGAGAGGGGTTGACTCCTCAACTGCTCTCGATTATATTTTTTTTTTTTCTAAGAGCTTTATTTTCATATTCTAAGCTAAACTTACTTTCCTGAAACTTAGTAGCTTTTTTATTTTTGACAACAAATTATCGACCATTTAAATTCTACAATTTTCTTTTTTTAGAATGTGGAGGGTGTAGCAGCACATATAGCAAAGCGGCACAAGCAAATATTAAAATGGAAACTTGAAAATGGAAACAACTAGAAGAAATTTTTATTTTATTCGTGATCGTTCTTGAAGCTGTGATTTCTTTTTTATCTGTTTCTTGAAATTATTTTACCCAAATCAAAGAGATCAGGCCGGCTTTTAGAATTAGGTTCCAAATACTTAATTTCTATAGTATTTTCTAATCTGATTGATATGATTATTTTTTACCAATCTGTAAATTTATACTAAAATTTTGTTTTCCAGAATAATGTCGGTATCTCGAAGTGTGCGTTTATGTCGCCTTTTATCTGTTTCCACAAGAAGGTGTGTTTTTTAATTCCTCAAAACAGATTTTTGCAAGGGTGTATATAATTCAAATTTCCCCCCCCCCTCAATTGTTTTTGATTTCCTTCCCCAAATTTGATAACTAAAAAGACATCATTTTTTAATATTTAAATTGCAGTATATTTCCCATCATTTATCTTAGGGGGAGAATAAACTTGTGAAATTTTTAAGTAGATTTGACTATTAGGAAAAATTATTGATTAATGAGCATTCTTTCATCATATTTGTTATTATGTTGTACTTGGAGCAAGAAAATTTGTTTACACTTTTTTTTGCTTTATTATATTGGGGAAAATTATTTCTGAAAAACTCTCTGATTTTATAAAGTTATGTAGTTATGTCGAGCTAAAGAGCTCCAGCCCTTTCCTTCCCTATATTCCCTCTTCCTTCACTTCTTAATCTGCCAACCCTCCATTGATTCTCTACCTTTCCCTTCCCTCCGTTCCCCTTCCCTATCTACCCTACCTTCCTCTTACCTTCCCCTACTACTTCCCTTCCCTGTCCCTTCCGTAGTTCCCTATATTCCTCTTTCCCTCTCAACCTTCCTCATTCCCTCTCTTCCCTTCCCAATGCACCATATTTTATACTCAATATTTTCCTTCCCCTCACAACCTTCCCCGTCCCTATTTTTCCTCTTCCCTACCTATCTCTTTCCCTACCTATCTCCTTCCCTACCTATCCACTTCNTCCCCTTTCTTACCTATCCAATTTCCTATCTATCCAATTCCCTCTCCTTCCCCCTTCCCCATCCTTCATTCTTTTCAGCTGTTACCCTTCCCCTTTTCGTTTACTTTTTTCTTCTTCTTTTCCTTTCATTTTCCACTTCCCTTTTATCTCCCTTTTTTCCCCCTTTTTCTTTCCCCTTTTCTTTTCCCTTTTATTTTCCCTTTTCCTTCCACTTTTCCTTCCCCTCCTCTTGGGTCTTTACTTCCCCCCCCCCTTGGGGGTAAAGAATTTTATTCACCCCTGGATCATTTTTGAAATAATGGAATTTAATGCTTAGGGCATACAGCGATAGCACTGATCGAGTAGTTATCAAGCCTATTGCCCGAGCACCAAAAATTTACACGAAAACTGGGGACAAAGGAACCTCAGCACTTTATACCGGAGAAAGAAGGCCGAAAGATGATAAGGTAACTGAACGGGATATTTGCCTTGGGACTAAATTTTATTTTTTTTTATGTAAAAGTGGAGGGAAATATATTATATTATTAGACAGGTTTTTATGTTACTTTTGAGTTATTTTTGGGTCAAAAAGTATTTTTTTATTAATCTTTTTCAAAAATATTTTAACAAGAAAATCTTAAATGCGACCATTAACGGTTTACGATGTATGTATGACGCAGGTTTTTGAAGCTTTGGGTTCCACAGACGAATTATCCAGTCACATAGGGTTGGCTATAGCATTTGCGGAAGAACAGAAGGTAATTACAGTTGAAAGGTTGTCAATTTATTTGATCAGTTTTCCGATATGATTATTCTTTGTTACAGCATCCGTATATTGGACAGCTTCAGAGAGTACAGTGTATCTTACAGGTAATTACAGTAGACTTGGACCTTTTAGAAATGGGTTTCCAAGTGTAATTTTTTTTAAATATTCACTTTTTTAGGATATTGGATCCTGTATAGCTACCCCGAGAAGTACAGCTAGGGATTCACATTTGATTAAAACTGGATTTAGCTCCAGGCATACTGGAGAATTGGAGGTTTGGATTGATGAATATACTGCTCAGCTACCACCTTTAGAGAACTTCATATTACCAGGTTAAGAACATTTTTCAACATCGCATTTTCTTTAAGAATATCTTTTTAGTTTTTTTTTATCAGGCTTAGTCAGTTGCAAACTCTCAGCAGTTAAATTAACACTGGAAACTTACGTAGAGAGCAAACTTTTCTGAAAATTGACTTGCTTAAAAAACCAATGGTCTGACCCTAAAGTATGGAAATAGAACGTCTCTGAAAATCTGATTTGATTTGTTCATGCATTTACATTCTTGTTATGTATTAATGATCATTATCATACTGTACAGGAAAATGCTGGGAGTATAGTTACCTGGATTTTTGGTTTTTTTATTGTCGCATTTAAAAATATGACCTGTGAAACGAAAACAAAACTCTTTGACTCTGGAACGAAATGGGCTATAAGATAGGAAATCTGATCAGTGCTTAGGATCCATTTAATTGTGATGCGGATTGGGACCCGGACCCTAGATCCGCGTAAGAAAATAGTGGATTTGTTTTCGGATTCAGGGCATGAACATTTCTTAAAGATTTTCTGATTTTTTAACCGGAGAAGAATTTCCTAATTATTTTTCTTCTTTTTTTCCGTTATTTTTGTTGCCAAAACTTGATGAACCATTTAGAGAAAAGAACATCTTTTTTTACAGTTTAGATTTGGGTTTTCAAAGCAAAAGATTTTTGTCTGCAGTTCTAGTTTATCCGGATCCAGGAAGCCAAAATATTGCTGATCCAACGGATCCGGATCCTAAGTACTGCTTCTGATGTAAAGAATTAACATATTTTTTGGTGTAGGAGGCGGAAAAACTGCCTCACAGATACATATATGTAGAGCAGTTTGCAGGAAAGCGGAAAGGTAAAACATTCGATAAAACGAAATTCTTATGAGGAAAAATGGATTCCATTATTAAGATTAATATTATATCATATTTGTGAGGTTCCTTGAGCAAATCCCCGAGAAATTATATTTTTTAAATTCGTGTGAAATACGACTATATCAAGTTGGAACAACAATTGACATCATGAAGGGTTGCAAATAAGTTTTTATATTTAACTTATGATCTTGTCCTGACTCACTTTTTACTGACTGTTACAATGGTAAAATGTTAAAATACCCTAAAAATCGGTTCTTTATTTGTAAATGATGCATGTGGTGTCATTATTTTCTTAGTAAGTTTGTTAACTAATTTATTACGCATTTGCTTTTTTTAAAGTTGATGTTAAATTTATGTTTGGCATTTTGAATGCGCCCTGAGTTTTAGATGGAGAGAAGTTTGAGAATAGTAGTGGATTATCTCAATCTACTGAACACAAGCGTGAAATCATTTGCAGATGAAATCATTTGCTGGATATTAGATCCTAGATCTTCCAAAAAGAGGAGAGAAAAGCAGGTTATCTAGCAAGAACTAGTTCAAGAAATGAAATGATCAAGATCATGAATCAAGATGTATTGACTTGTATTCATTGCTTTAGAGTTCTAAGACCCACATAAAGTTTGTGACACTAATATTACAATGACTTGTTTCCATAAACTAACATTCAATGTTTTTGATTGTGGTACCACTTCAACTTAAGCTATGCGAGATACGGTGACTGCTGAGGTACTTTAAAACCAGTTTGAGCAGTAGAGTGGGGAGCAAATCGACATCCATCACCTCTTAATTCTGTCTTTTTGGTCCAAATATTACAACTGAATGTGGAATTTTAGAAAAAGCTCTTTTTTGTTCAGCATAAAGTGAAAAAGAAGACTATAGAAATTGTAAAAAACATTTCCTTTCCATTTTGGAAAATCTCTGAGCGTTCTATTACAAATATGCATAGATTCACAAAGCTTGGTTTGCAATTAAGAAAAACTAAGTCAGGCAGTATGCTTTGATACTCAGACAGTTCGATGAAAATGCCTAATATAACAGATAACATATAACATTGTCAATAATTTTTTAGGAGATATGTTAATTAAACACAATTAAAAACAGGGGAAAGGGGAGAGGCCCACCCACTCTTAGGCCAGGACTAAGCTAGGTCAAAATTTGTATAGAAATTTCTGAATTAAGGTATATCAATACTTCTACAAATGAGTGAGTGTGCATGTTGTTCGTACAAAAAAATTAAGTTAGTATCATAATTTCCATTCTTTAGTGCTTGGAGTGTGTAAGAATATACATTCTTTTACGCTCTGACCGTGTAATAATTTCCATTTGTCTGAGCGTTAAAGAATGAAAATTCTACACCCCCAGTGTAAGAATAAGCATTTTTAAACGCCAGGAAGCGAACAATATTGGAACATTTTCTCCTGAACTGTGTAATAGTAGGAAGGTTCACTACTATGGAACCGGACTGATATGATATGATATTAATTACTTAATTGTTTCTCTAGATTATTCCTGTCTAATATATTTTGTAGATGTGTTACACCTTTGGTTTCCTCTGATGAATGTGAACCCGAGACACAGAAATATTTGAACAGATTGTCAGACTTCCTTTTTACTATTGCAAGGTACAGACTAGAACATAATTAAAAGTTAGAAGACAAATTTTAATGAAAATGAATTTCAATTTTGAGATTTTCAATTCCCAATAAATTAACCCGCATTTTTAAAACTCATTAATGGTTGAACCTTAGAACTCAACTTAACCTGTTAAAGTTAGGTATTTCATTCAAAAGTTATCAGGTCTGACACAACTTAACTCCTCATTAGTCCTGAAGGCCCAAATGGTAAAATTTTTAGTTCAAAATTAACACGAGTACAAATTAAATTAATAAGTTACCCATTTCCATATTTTTTAAGGTTTACTGCAATGTTAGAGGGTAACTCAGAGAACATTTATACAAGGCAAATCTTTTATTTTTAATTAGCTTATTTTCTCTAATCTGAAAAATCTGAATTGTAATTAACATCATTTTGTGTTTTATTTTTCTGATTTTAGGCCGGAAAACCGAGGAAAAACTTAAACTCCATCTTTAGAGGGAATCTGGAAGAAGAAAAAATAATCCACAGTTCTCATTCTGGTTTTCAATGATTTCATAACTTAAATTTTTTGTTGATTGGACTGTAAGCTGAATTTTAAGTGAACCTCCATGCAAAGATGGAAAAGCCCGATTCATTACTGTACCCTTGAAACCTTTATCTGATCAAAAATGTGGAAGATATTGTCGTTTTTTTAGATTCATATTTGTTTTCCTGAAGTAGAAATGCAGGTTACTTTTATAAAGAACCCACATTTATAAATAATCAGTTTTTAATTAATAATTATAAAGTCATACTTTATCAGACAACACTTGTAAGGTTACCGTTGTGAATGGGGCATTGCCATCTTTGCATGTAGGTTCACTTGAAATTACGCTTACAGTCCCGTTAAATGTTGTATTCTCTTTATATATCAAGTAATAATTTTAGCAGGTGTAAAATAATCTAGTTATAGTATACGTGCATTGAGAATATTCCGTGTCCTTAAATATATTCTTACAGGAAAATGAACCGAATATTCTAACATAATGAGTGGGGACAAACTAATTGATGATGTCAGTATTGCAAACACACAAAGGAGAGGAGGGAAAAGAAAATCCAGTGAGAAGGATAAGAATGATAAAATGAAAGATGCAGGATTAGGAGACAGCAGTGTGAGGTCTGCTACTTTCAATATGATTACCCAGGTATATACCTGTCTGTACTCTGCTGTATGTTGGAAAGGTAGATGAATGTTAGAGAAGGTTGATTGTTGATGCTGATTGAGCTTAGTTTTGTTTAGATAAGTTTCCGAGTGATAACATTTATCCTAAATGCCTTTGTTCTCCGCCATATTAGCAGGTGAGACCTTACTTCTCAGCTTAAAAGTTACAGTATCATCAGTAAACAATACAAAACTTATTATACCATTTAAAACATTCATTAGAAATTATTATGTCTGCCATTAAAATATTTAGAGATGTGATGGGCCTGATCAACGTGAGACTAAATTTGTTGGACGATACTATTCTCTTCCTTAGTAGAGAAGCTTTTAGATTGGCATGTTTGGGACATAGGGGCAAAGTGAGTTGGTTTAGATATAATTTAAGAAAAAAGTTAAAAAGTTCATTTTTAAACAAGTAGATTTGGAATAACAAAACATATGAACATTGAATAATGATCAGGAGGGTTGGGATGGAGTTCTGAATCTAATGTGGTGTTGTGTCCCTCTATCTATTGTTTGGTCGACTGTGTTGGGTTGGGTTTGGGTAAATATTCTCTCCTCGCCTCCAGAGGATCTCAAACAACAGTAAGTCAATACAAAAAATACTTCAAACAATTTATAATTTTTAAAGTTCAACTTTTATCCATCATATATTAAAAAACTATTCATAATATTTATATATACCCGGAATTTTTTTCCATACCACTTTTGGAGCAGGTGAACCCTATACTATTTATAATACAACAGAAGCATAAGGACTTTTTAAGGTATGAGACGGCTGTGATACTAGTTTCCTTTAGTGGAATAATACAAATGTTTGCTGAAGTGCCCTGGCTCATAGCTCAAATATTTCTTTTCGTAAGGTAGGTGTTATGGGGGGGGGGGCGAGGGTTAGGTATAATTAGTATCACACTGTAATTTGGCTTTCTAAAAGATTGATTGGCATAAACTTCATTTTAATTGATAACCCCTGTAATGCAGATCCAATTATGCAATTGGCATTTTAACCTTAGTTTTTATTATGCTGTGTTGTTGGAAGTTTATTTTTAGTATAGTATAGTATGTAATGTATAACAATCGTAGTAAAACTGAAATCGTTGAAAATCCTGTCTGAGCTTTCTTAACTGGAGTGTTTAGTTTCTTGAAAAATCATTTCATATTATCAGTAAATTAATTTTTGTTTAAATTAATATTTATTTCATCAACGAATGTCAAGGTTACGTGTAATAATGGATTTTATCTGGATGCTAACTCGAGTTCTCTTCTTGGTGATTGCTGTTTCCTTGTACCCAGATAATGTGGTTTATATTTGGGCTGTTGGCCACTTCATTGCGGGTCTACTTTATGTCCTCGGTATTAACTCATTTTTTTTAACAATAAACAGAGTAATTTGTAATTTGAATGTAAATCATGCTTTACATTTGGAGAGTATTTGATACAGTGAAGTGGCGCAACTAGGAGGGAGGGGGGCGAACCTGATTTTACCCCCCTTAGCATTTTTTCCCCCCCCCCCCCCCTCGACCATGGCACTATTAATTATGATTTTTGATTTTGGGAGCAATTTAAAACAAATCTGGGATTGTGGATAACTTTTTATTAAATTTTACAAATTAAGAAAAAAATGCCTACATTTTTTTGCGCGCTTCGCGCAAACATTCATAATAGAATTTCCTGCTATTTTCTCTTCTTAAATTTGAAGAAACTCATTCATACTTAATTTATCCTCTCTCTCAAAAAAAACTATATATATACACTTGTTACTTCTTATGGGTATTACAAAACATGACATTAAACGGTAAAGAAAACTGACGATCAAGAAATTACATACATGCATATTGTGATAGAAGAATATCAAGAAAAAATGAGGATTATATTGGTCTATCAGGAATTTTTTAGGCTTAAAGAGAAGAAAAGGGGTATAGCCCTCTCACTGGAAAAAAGGGTAATGGGGCTACCAGATTATGGACAGATGAAAGGAAGTAACAAAGTACTTGCAGGAACTACTTACTGCAGACTACACAAACCGAAAACAAAGGGACTTTATAGTGGACAAAAAGGACTAATGGATGAAAAAAAAAATTTGCTGTAGATTGTAAAAGGGGACTTTATACAGCATACACTTACACATAGTGAATATGATTAAGCCAGAGACTAACTGACGCTAAGAAACACAAAAAAAGATATACTATTAAAATTGAGAAAACACTAAAACTCAGAAGAAAAAATGTTCTGTTGCGCTTCGCGCACCATTTCAACGAATTGACTCATCGTTCATTTTACAGCTGTTCTAAGTATAAATTTTTTAAAAAGACAACAAGCAATAGGATATTAGAAAAATCGATTTGCATTGAAGTGAAAACTGAGCCAAATCTGCATGCAACGAAATTCCGTTTCTTTTCGACTTCAAACCCTTAAAAAATCACTTTATTTTTAAAACAATTTATACACGGGGTACTAGCCCACCCGTAACCCCCCCCCCCCCCCCAAAAAAAAAAAACATTGAAAAATTGAATAATCTCCCCCCCTTACAAAAGTGCTAGTTGCGCCACTGATTTGATAAATACTTATTATCATCTTTTCTTAAAATTACTTTTACAGTCCAAAAGACATTTTATTTACATGCAAGATAGTTGAACAATATAATATATTAATATCATAATATTTTCAGGTTACTATTTTGCTTTCTTCTTAATCTTGAAGTTCGGAAATAAAGATCCCCACGCTAAATGTTCTCATTCCTCTGCCTTACCTTTCAACAGTTTACGACAGTTTTTTCCGACATTCGACAAGACAACCTTTCCAGTTAACCAGGAATACAGGTTAATTAATTATATTCAGTTAGTATAATGCAGGCCACAAGTACGTTGTACAGGTACAGTACATTACAGTATTTTGCAGTTGCTGGTACGATATAGTACAGTACCAGCTGAAAGGAAAGATACGATAAAATAGAAGAACATGGTAGATGATAGAAAAATATCAACTACAAGTTAACTGTATTTAAATGCGAATATTGACAAAGTATATTTTTATTCTATATTGTTGCCGATCCGGATCATTGTTTGTTTCTTAAGTGCTCTGAAATTGTGTACTTGTGTTCTGAACTTGTGAAATATACAGGCGCGTAACCGTAAGCTTTCTGGCTCAAGGATTGATGAAGCAGGTTCTAACAGAGGGAGAAAGATACTTGATGACATTCCTCAACCTTCTCTCTCTTAGTCAGCAAGGAATATATGACGTGGTTTCCAACCTTGGTTCTTTAGCAGCCAGGTTCGTTTATGTTATATTTTGTCGTCTTAGGATTAAAAGTTTACCATAATTATTATTATTTTATTAATATTGTAATATAATTATTTTTTTAAATTGTAGAATTTTCATAACATTTATTTATTTATTTATACAAGACGATAATGAAAATTATTTCTAGGGCTGACTACAAAAGTAGATCTAAAATCAATTATTTTTTAAAATTGTAGAATTTTTATAACATTTATTTTTCAGATTTATATTTCGACCAATAGAAGAAAGCTGTTATTTATTCTTCAGTCAACAGGTGAAATTTAAACTCAAATTGAAGTAATTATAATTTTTGCACCTTAAACTCTAAATTTGAAGTAATAAAATTTGCCAAATTTCTGATGAGAAAATAAGAAAGTTGTGTAGGAAATGGTTAAATTATCTTTTAATGCGGTTTGAATGGTTTTAATCATTTTAAAAATAAATTTGGCTTGTCTGTCTGTCTGTCTGTCTGTCTGTCTGTTTGTATCCAATAAACGTCAAAACGGCTGAACCGATCGGGCCCAAATTTTTTGTGGGACCTCACGTGACCACAGGGAAGGTTTATGAATGATCAAAATTTCAAATATTTGTCTCCATCAAAATTCGATCTCCATTAAATTTTTTAAAATTTTGAAAATCCACGAAATTTTTTGTAAAAATCCGCGAATTATTTTTGTTTTGTTTTACGATGTACACAAAGAGAACATGTTCACAATTAATATAGAAGATGGGCGCGAAGCGCCCTCTAAGGCTAGTCATTTTAAAATTGAGTATAAGATTTATTTAAATAATAAGTATAAATAGTAATAATTTCATTTAACAATCACATATTTGTAAAACATGAATATAATTAATGAATAATGATACATAATATTATTATTATGATAAAATAATCGTTAAAAGAAGGGAATTTGAATTTTAAGTTTATATACATTTATTTTAGATTTACTTCATAAATTTTCTTGCTCAGTGGGTTCGAGGAAAGGATTGGAAGGATCAGGATGAAGATATGCGTCAGAAAGTGGAGCAAGGTCTCTTCAGAGTACTTAGGAAACCACTTTGCAAAATATTTCCACCAAAGTTATAGGGGCGTATTGGAGGTACACTGTATAGCCTTTTTTCCTACCCTGCACCCCCTTTTACTTAACCTTGCCCTCCCCCTTCACGTCTAAATTATCTGTCCCCCACTACCCCACTGCTCCCCCAAAATCCATTATCCAACACTGCTCCCTCTGTTCCCAAAGAAATTATCATAAAATAGACAAATTGCTAATTGAAAAGAAAAGTTTAATATATTTGACGTAGGGCTAGGGGAGGCGTAGGGGGTTCAAGCTCACCCCCCCCCCTTGCCGCGCCGCAGTACACCTATGCAAAGTTAAATTAGAACGAAAACTTATTTTACATATATATTCAAATTGGTATTATTATAGATTGATGGTTCTACTTGGTCTTGTTATATTTACTTTTGGGTTTTCCTATTCCGACCTTTTACTCAGAATTTATGGAGGACCACATCTAGCAGTGGACGGTGGGACTGCACTTCTCAGAGCTCAATGTCTTCTCATCTTTTTTCTTGCTGTTAATGGTGTGACGGAATGCTTTGTGCGGTCCGTCATGACGGAACAGGAGATCAACATGTTTAATAAGAAGCTTGTGTTCCTGTCTTGTAGTTATCTTCTTCTTACCTGGGCGATGACCAGCTCTATGGGCGTGCTAGGATTAGTGGGGGCTAACTGCGTCAATATGGGGATACGCATTTATTTCTCTATTGAAATTATTCAGAAAACATTCGCCAACTTGGATCCATCGCCTATTCAAGGTATTAAAGAATGAATTTAAAATCTTTCAATTGCTTTAATTTGTTTGGAAAGTTTCGTCAAGTGCTTAGGACCCAGAATTTTGGCTTCATGGTTTGATTTAATTTTCTGTTCTTAAACCAAGTTCTGAACTGTTGATAAAAGAGAGATTATTAAAATTTTAAACCAAGTTCTGAACTGTTGATAAAAGAGAGATTATTAAAATGTCCCTATCTATGAATGGTTGATCAAGTTTTGGCATATAATATGCGAAAATAAAAGAAAAGCAATAATTTAAAATTATTCTTTTCTTCAAGAAATCAGTAAATCTTAAAGAAATGTTCATGACACGGATCCGCATCAAAATGAAATGGATCCTAAGCACTGTTTGAATCAATATTATTTTGTAAATATTTAGGAGTTTATAGACTTTTAACGAAGTGTTATTTTATTAAGTATCATCTCCGTTAGATTGATGTATCAACACTTTTTTCGTTTCGTTTTTTTGTTAACAAGGATCGAATAATTTATATCCCAGTACTAACATAATCGGCAGTAAAGGTGAAAAAGAGTACAGCATTTACAAGTCTAGTCGCTTCATTCTTATGAACAAGTTTTTTCTGTCCTGGGTTTTGTGAAATCACAACTATTGGAATGAGAACAAATAATTTTCATTGATTTATTTGCAGGCTTGTTCCCTGAAAATGATATGCTGTATATTCTGCTCTGCTCTGGTACCTGCTGTCAACTCTCAGAGCAGTATATATACGCTTGGAGTCCTGCAGTTCATTTTCTTCTCGGAGCTTTACTTTTCTTTGTAGTTGTGGCTTCAGTTGTCATCAAAGAAGATTTTATTCTCTCATTCCTTGTAGAAAAATATAGAAACATAAAACTTAAAATTAAAAAAGAATAAAGTTGGTCCATGGATGTGACTTAATAAAGGCTGCCTCCCAAGTCACTTATTCCAAGCAGATAATTTTCCAAATATTTATTATTTTTAGAGTAGTTAATCCCAAATTGTTTATTCTTATATTGTTTTCCCTTCATACCAATTCAGGTTGAAAAGGAAAGATTTTGAGAGTTAATCAATAATCATGTATGCTGCTTTGGTAAACAAAAAATTAGCCTTATGTACGTTTAGAAAGTCGCCTTAATGAAAACGTGACTTGGAAAACACTTCTGGGAAAAACGTAACTTACCTCACATTAAAAAGAAGTATAATCTGTGATAATATCTTTTTGTTTTATATTTACACGCCAGTATGATGTTTGACCGTTTTACTTATTTATACATTTAAAAAGATGAAAAATTCGTAAAATCTATCAAGATGAGAGTTACTTTATTTGTCGTTAATTTTGAATGTTTTTCAGAGAAAACATCATATATAAAAGCAGAATTTTGAGACTTAAGAGTTACTGCTAACACTAGCTCTGAGGTAATTCCACGAAATCAATTTTAACTTAACCTAGATTCTGAACCTAATTTTGAAAGAGTTTCACATCTCGAGTTCGACCCCTATTTCACTAAATGTCGGGTTGTCTCTTTATAATCATAATTTCTAGTTCCACCTTAGATTTTTTTTTTGCGCAATGGCCTCAATTGTTGTTTATTTTTATTTCATTATAGATAAGTTAATCAAAGATCTAAGAATTTAACAAAATTTGGAGAAAAAACTTTACTAAATTTAAAGAAAGAAGCTGGATAAAAAATTTTATTTTATTATTTTAGATCGTGTTCAGCTAGTTCAAACTCCTCTATTTTTAATAGCCTTTTCTGAAAAACTTGCATGTGGAGAAGAGTTGAACTTTTTTTTGAAGATTTAGAAGCTTCTATTAGATTTTTAAGAGTCCATAAATGGGTTTGAGAATTAAGAAATCATTTTTAACTTCATTTATTTATCGCAGGAGGAAAAAGAGAAAGACTTTTCGATAAAGTTTGCTTTTTAGGAACACTTTCCTGACTGGGAGTGAGATATGAATTAGTATTGCAACTTTCAATAAATTATAACCCAAATCTTATAGTCTTATCATCTTTTTATCAAGTGTAGACCATATTTTAAATGTGAATAGTCAGTTTTAGTTATACAATTATAACAATGCTTTTCTTAAGGAATGGAAAGATCAAGACCAGATCCTTGGCCTGATTATGAATACAGATCCAACTCTGAAAGTTTTGAATCCGGATTAGACCGAAGTAGGCCCAGATCTAGATATGAGGGCAGCCGATCAAGATCAAGATATGAACAAAGTCCCCCAAGGGAAAGATCTGAATACGAGACAAGGAGAAGTTATGATTTCAGTCCAAGGAGAGACGACAGGGAAACTGGGGCTGGTTACAGGTTGGAGAGATCCCAGAGTAGGTATGAGAACAGAGAAGAGAACATTCTTAGTATGTCTCCAAGATATAGAGAGGAGGAGGATTTTACCCGCCAAACAGGTAGAAGAGAAGAATATTATTTTGAAGAAAGAACTGATCGTAGAAATCGAATTGCTGAAGATTTTGATAATAGAGAAAATGATGGATATTCGGCCAGGTTTCCAAATTCTTCTAGATATCAAGACGTTGAAGATGTATCGCATAGATCCAGCTATGTAGATAGGATCACAGGACCCCTACGAAGTAACAAATTTGTTTCCCCTCCTAGAAGAATAGTATATGAAGAGTCTAAAACAAATCCCTTTGATCGACTAGGACCCAAGGCGGAAGTGTCTGATGATGAATTTTACAGCACAGACAGAATAGATGATAATCTCTGTGAGAGTTCTAGATTTGGTAATTTACACAGTTCTTGGACAGAACATAAACCAAATTTAGATATAAATTATAGAATTTTTAGCAGAGACAGAGATAATGAGTACAGTGGAGATCACATTACACAACCTTCTTATGCTGAAGCATTTTCCAGAGAAAATTACATGGAAGACTTTGAAACATTTCCCCAGCAAACAGTTTCCATGGTCAGACAAGAATTCCAGGAAAGACAAACTGCTTCACCAGTACAAGATTTTTATCCTGAAAGGGATGTTTCAGTTGGCAGACAATATTCCCAGTTCAGACATGCCTTCTCATCCTCAACAAGTACATCAGAATCAGAAGCTACAAGAAGAAATATTCAGGACAAATCAGACTTTCCAGGAGGAAGTAGGCAAGTTGGAGGAACATATGATGAATGGGAACAGTCTCCTTGTAAAGATAGACTCAAATCAGTCAGAGATTCTCAAGAACTCATGCGAGATCGAGGGGGAAATAGAAAACTAGACAGGGGAGAATTTTCATTAAGAAGAGGCGAAGAAGCTAAAAGGCGAAATTCATATGGAGGAAGAGAACAAGCAGCAAGAATTGGAAAGTTTGAGGGTAGCAAACATGTAGAAAGAATGGATTATCCGACCGCGAGAAAGCAGATTGAAGAAAGAGAACAACAAGAAATAAAAAGAGACTATCCAGAAAATATTGAACCTTTGAAAAGAAGGGATGGACTAGATCAAGAAAGATACCGTAATCAACGTTCTGTAGATCATCAAAACAGATTCTCATCACCTTTGCCAAAAATATCCATGTCAGAAGACAAAGTTCCAGGCACTAAAAGAAAATTGTCCTCAGATTTAAGTCGTTCTACTTCTAGGGGTCGTTCAGAAGCTATTAAAGAAAGAAGAGGCAACCAAGACAAAACAAAATCATCTGGAAGAAGTTCTTCAGACAGAAAATATCATCTGGGAAAAAGAGTATCTTCAGGATCAATAGGTTTAAAGGGTGAAAAATATTTCTTTTTGTTTAAAGGTCAATTTTAATCTACATATTTGTTCACAATTTTACAGAGGTAAAAAAATATTCCATCTCTGATCTCTTATCAGGGTCCATAAATAACTGCCTAACCTTGCAGTGGCACCCACATGACTAATTTAGGTTGTTAGTTTCACTAAAAACTACCCTACACATTTTTTTGTATGAGAGTATAGGATTAGCCGATTTCAAATCATTTTTAAAACAAATTTGATGAATAGCCTTTTTTGAGAAAATGGGGTTTTAAATATTGGTCAAAAGGGATCCTAGTTTGCCAGGACTGAAAACTACAGAAAGGTGATAAAGTTTGCAGTAAAAATTACCAAAATAGACTCAAAATATTTTTTATTTTATAAATAGTCAGTTTTCTTATGTTTGCCCCATATTTTACAGTTTTCATCACATTTAAATTGAGTTAAATTTTTAAAAAGGAAGTAGACCCAAAATATTTTTTATTCTAAAGGAAGTTGGTTATCTAACATTAATCTCTCCGGATTATGTTTTCAGTGATATGTAAAATATCATGATTAAAAACATGGTTCTTGCTTGCATGATAATCTTATGAGGAAAAAAACTTAAAAATTGAAATTCTTAATTTTTTATTTAAACCCTATAGATTAGATGATTATCACCGTTTGCAGTTTTCAGTCCTGGCAAAATAAGATAAATTTTTTAGATTTAATTCAATTCAAATGTGATGAAAACAGTAGAAAAGGGCCAAACATAAGAAAACTGACTATTTATAAAATGAAAAATATTTTGAGTCTATTTTGGTAATTTTTACTGCAAACTTTATAGATTTCGATGATTATCACCTTTTTGCAGTTTTCAGCCCTGGCAAACTAGGATTCTTTTTGGCCAATATTTCAAACCCCATTTTCTCAAAAACGGCTATTCATCAAATTTGTTTAAAACATGTTTTAAAATCTGTTAATTCATACTTTCAATTCCAAAAAGAAATGTGTGGGGTAATTTTTAGTGAAACTTAAAACCTAAATTTGTCATGTGTGACAAGAGTTATTATTTTTTTCAGTTATAAACTGTATTTTCAAGATATTCTTTGTTAACAAGATAAGTATTTTAATATTACAGACACAGCTTCAAAGTAAAGTTTAAACTTCAACCTTTAATGCCCCCGACTTTGGGTGCCACTGAAAAAAAATTCCCATGTGTGCGATACATTTTATAGGAATCATTAGGGTAAAACTAGCTCAAATAAGAAATTTCAGCATTTTAAAATTATTTTCTAAAGTGGTACCATTCTGGAAATCCTTTAACTTGGTTTAAACGATATTTGACAATTTTTTTTGATTTTTTTGTTTTTTGGTGGTCAAATATTTAGAAAAAGGTGAAAAATTTCATCTTCTTTGGGGAGTGGTTAGAGCAAATTTTTTTTCAGACTAAGCGTAATCCTATTTGAAAATATTTTGACGTTCAGAAATGGTCTAAACAATATTTTATTGACAAGTGGGTCCCCAAATTTTGTGAATTTTCATCAAAGTCGTAAGACATGTTTTATCCAAAAAAATCAAAGCCTTAAACCCATGAAAGTTATATCTGATGTTCCTATCTCGAGAAACTGATTTACAACTTTGTCAAATTTATACGAAAATTCAGGAAATGAGCAACCAATCTGAAAACGATGATATCCCAGAGAAAGTTAATTGTAACTTAGGTTTACTCCAATTCTAATTTTATATTTGTTATTTCTATTTTTTATAGACTTAATTCATAATATTATTTATACGTCCGTATTGCTTGACCAGAAATTCCACCAATGGCAGTGCAGTAAAGTGGTCACGTGATACAGGTGGAGACACATGACCAGTATACTGCCCTGCCATTGGTGATATTTGTTCACGTGATTTAAGTTTTAAGATTTTCTAAATTTTACATATATGAACTTTTGTATAATTTTAACACAGTTTTATATCAATTTCTCGTGACAACAGGAACATCAGATAATACTTTAATGGGTCGCGATCAAGAGCTAAAGTGATTAGCTTTCAGCCTATACCCCCTTTCATTTTTCCTTTACAGTCCCTTTAAGTGAACTATATAATTGCCCAATTACTGCCTAAAAAAGACTTTTTGAAGTAAAATCAGTAAAAATTACATCAAAAAACTTTTTCGGGTTGCATTTTGACAGTCAGGCAGTTGACATAGGGGTTTGATTTTTTGCTATAATAAGTTTCATGCCTGTTTAAGAAAAATAAAAAATTTGGAGACCATAACATAAACTGTTAAAAAAATATCGTAAAAAACCCAGAAGAAGCAGATTAAAGTCTTGAAATGAAATTTTTGTTTAATTTAAGACCTGTGAATGCACTTCATTTCTGCAATTTCTTAAAAATTGATTTGCTAAAAACTCCCTAAGTGACATTTTCTAAAAATTGAGAAAATAACTCAGTAGCCTGCATATAAACATAATCCAAAGAAAAAGTTTAGGTGTTTTGACTTGAAACCTGATGGTCCATTTTCAGCAGTGTGCTCAACTCCTCTTGCTTGGCCAAATGATACAACCTGTAAAAAATTGTTTTTCATAAAAAGATGCCCTTTGATGTCTTAATAACTATGCGAAAAACCTTTTTATGCGTTGCTAAACTTGTTATCTAAAATGTCCAAAGCTCAGCCGTCTTAAAAGTATTCAACATTTGTTTTTTACTGTGCAATCTTAATATCAATGGGCATCTTTTTATGAAAAACATTTTTTTTAAGTTGCATCATTTGGCCTAGCAAAAGGAGTTGAGGAGAAAATTGCACCAGATACGGTTTTTTAAATGGATTTTTTGGCCAATACCTTTCACATTTCCCTCTCAACTTGTCAATAAAACATTTTTTAGGTCATTTCTGATCTATCAAAATATTTTCAAATAGGGTTTAGTTATGAAAAAAAAATCAAAATTGTCAAATATCGTTTTAACCAAGTTGAAGGATTTCCATAATGGTATCACTCTTTAATATCCCTTGAAGATTGACAGAGTTAACCCTATTTAGCCGAGAATGGTTTAATGCTTGCTAAAATATTTGTCGCAAATCTGGGAATTTTTTTTCAGGGGCACAATACCCCTTCCCCCCCCCCCCCCCTCTTCACGTTGAAGGTAGTGAACTGAAGAAAATATATTCTGTAAAATCAACATTTTATTTTAACCCTATTCTGACTGAGAATTTAAATTCTCTGGGTCAAGTGCTTTTCAAAACATTTTATAATTTGTAGCATTTACACAATTTTTGTTTTTGCACATTTTTTACTAAATAACTAGATTTTGCAATAAATATTTGGATTTATGCAAATTTGGTATTGTTTTGCAGATTATTGTAAAAATGTATCAAATGTTGTAGATTAATATCATAATAAGAAAATAGAAGGGGGAGGTCAAATGGGTAAACCAGACATTGTCAGAGTAGGGTTAATTTCTAAGAGTTTGTTCACATTTTCACCGTAAGTATTCTGTAGGGAAAAGAAAGAACAATGAAGCTCCTAGATCCTCTATGATGGACTTAACTGATTCAAGAAGATTATCGAGAACTTCTTTTCAACCATCTGATTCCAGAAACTCAACCTCAACCAGAAGAGCCAACTCGCCAAATAAAGTTGAAAATGTCTCAGTGAAGAAGAAAAAAATGGATGAAGCAGACAAATTGAGACTATTGCTTTTAGAAGAGGAGTTGAAAAGGACCAAAGAAAAATTGATGAAAACCGAAATGAAGGAGAATAAGGACATGCTCGTATCAAGAAGGGATGTCCAGTTAGATAAACATCAAATAGATAAACCTAAGCTACCATCAAAGCTATATGAAACAGAGTGTTTTGTTGTGCTTGTGCAAGACATGACTGAGTGTGGAATTGTAGAGATGGTAGGAGGAGATGGAACACATGTATATGCATTTTTTTATAAACATGATGCTATAACTAGCCAGGATGGCAATGATAAAATGTCTGTCAAGTTTCCAATTGGATTAAAACTGAAAGCAAATGCTTGGCTTGTAAATGAAGATAATAAGATACCATATATCATTGCACGTTTGTGGTCACCTGATATTATTCTTCCAAGCTCAATTATGTCCAAGATCAACAACATAGAACCTGAACAGAGTATAATGAGAATGTACACATCATTGAGCCCAGATCTTTCATGGAAACTACCCACCAACAGATGTCTGCCACGAAACAGGGATGAAATTGTTATGTATGAAGACCACATTAAAGCTTCTAAATCTGATGATTCATCTTTTAGAAGAAGAAACTTGAGCAGTGATGTTGATGTTGTCATAATTCCAGACATAATCAGAACAAACCTGTTGAATTCTCCTCCTAAAATTTCGCCAATAAATAGGGAAACACATATTGTAAACTTTGAAGAAGAGGCGCGAAAAAAACTTATGTTATTATCTGCTCATTCCTATACTGGTAGAAATAGTAATATTCAACAAAATAAGAAAGAAACTGAAGAAGTCTCAAAAAGTAATTTTGCAAAAGGTACACATTCTTGTCCTCCGCCTCCCTCAAGTCATTTTTTCAATCAGGCTATAAGCACCAATCTTCAACAAATTGAAGCTATGAAAACTGAAGCATCTGGAAATATGACTGCTGATAGCACAAAGTTATGCCCTCCACCTCCATCAGGTCATTGTTTTACCTACCAGGATAAGAGTACCAATTTCCAACAAAACATAAAGGTAACAGAAGTATTTGGAAATTTGCCTGAAAAACAAGTCAAAGTACAGCCACCACCTTCACAAGGTCATAACATTTTTTATGATGATGAAAAAAATAATATGCATCACAATGTGGCAGTTACAGGAGTATATGGAAACGTGTCTGCTGACAGTGATGGATTATGCCCTCCACCTCCCCCTGGTCATTTTTTTACCCATCAGGAGAAAACTAGTAACTTTCAATCAAATATGGAGGCAACTAATAAATTTGTAAATATTCCTGCAAATAGTGCCAATGTCCAAATATGTCCTCAACCTCCCCAGGGACATATTTTTACCCATCAGGATGAAGGTACATATACCCAGCAAAATATGCAGAAAACAAAAGAATTTAGAAACATGTCTGTAGGGAATGCTGAGTTTGGCACTCAATTCCCACCTCCACATCTGGTTAAAGGCATTACATATAAAGAAAATATGCAGAAAACAGAAGAATCCATAAATAGTGTTGTGACTAATGTAGTGTTTTGTCCTTCAAAATCATCAGGTCAATTTAAGACAGAACAGAAAGATCTGACAAATACAACTTATCATAATTCTCTCTCAGCCAACACCAATTACACTTGTTTAAATTCTGTGTTTACACAGTCTCAGGTTGCAAAACAAGCTTTTCCAACCAGACAGGGATCTATGATTGCTCTTCATGAAAAACCTTCACCTCAGTCTTCACATGTTCAATATTCTGTACCACTAACATCACCATCACTTGGTGAAGAATCAGAATATCAAGAAAGTTACCTTAACTATGAAGCTGGCAAAAACCAATCCTCAGATTATGCCAATCTTCAGTTAGCTCCATGTTTTGGTAAACCTTTGCCCACAACTTTATTGGAAAAGAGTCATCATACATCTCCACATCATAAAAGTGAATTAAACACTGAAGATATCCCAATATTTGGCAAACAAATGCCTAAGAGTGCAATAAAGACAAGTTTTCATTTTCCATCAAGATCAATTGCAGCAGAAAAAATGTTTGAAGAAACTCTGTCTGATAATTCTTTGAAAGTATCCATGCATTTAAAGAAATTGTCAAAAGTTAGATCAAGTGAAATTTTTCTTGACAATGACAACAGTGACATTGAAACTCCAGAAGATGAGACTGAAGTTCTTTTTGGAAAACCAATTAATGATAAGGATAAATATGAACAATTTACCCTGAAAGTTGATTCATATATATCTAATATTGGAATTTTAAAAATTTCTTCATCCCAAAAGGTAATATTCCATGCCAATCAGGTTTGGGTGAAGCAGCCTTGTTCTATTAGAGCTTATTGTCCTTTTTTGGAGATATTCCCATTAGACTGTTTAGAAAAAGAAATTCCAATTGGAACTCAAGTTCGTTGCCTTGCCTTAAAAGTTTCCAAGACATACTATCAAGCAGTTGCCTTATGGAAAGAAAACAACCATGATTTTCCTCCCAGAGCTTTAGAAATAGCAAGGGACTCAAAGAGTGAACTTAAGCAAGTCTTTGATGAGTTTGTATTCCCTACTGGTTCCAAATATTGTGGTGATATTGGTGAGCCAAGGCCATATCTGAAGGGATATATTCAGGATTACATAACTTATGAACTTGGCATCATAAAAGTTAACTATGGTGAAGCAGACAACCGTTATGATAGTGCTTTGTTCCACCTCAACCAAGTTTGGACAGCATGCAAAAGAGGTGGATTTTCAATCTTGAAGGATTCTATTCACAAAAGCCCCCCCAATCTCTGCTTACCTGTTGGAACAGAAGTTTGCTTTGTTTACAGAGATTTACCATGTGAATCTAGTCATTTAAAGTTTCAAGCTTATGCAGTTTGGAAAAACACTGATAATTTCAAACTTCCAAGGCAGATTGGATCTATATTCAACGAATACACTGCTTATTATTCTGAGAAAAGAAATCAAGAGAACCTTATTGTTGATTTGAATTGCAAGCATGACTTATTAAAACAGCACTCTAAACTGTATTCTCCAAATCCTTATGTGATCCCTGTAGTCCTTAATGGACTTCCAGAAAACTGGGTTGCTGTGATCTCAGATTTATATAATTGTGGTTTTGGATTGATCAAGATTTCACATTTAGAACCAGGAAAAGACCTGTCTGCTGCACTGAAGTTAGATGTACCTGATCTTTATTGTGTTTTTCACTATTCAACCTTTTTTCTGAAAAATGGAAAATGTTGTTCTAATAAAGACAAAAATCTGATCAGACAAGGTGATCATGTGAACTTAATAGCAAGGTCTATTATTCCTGAGCAGTCAAGTGCTTCTATTTTAAGAGTGGTCAAGGCCCATATGCAATTTGGTTCTAAGTTGCCATACATCAGTATGCAAGCTATAGTTGTCGTTCATGAATCCTCTGAACAGTCTTATTATAGCCTTCCAGATAATGTCCCTCAACCTGTTGTAATGAACATGAAGCCCATCTCATTTAATTCAGATCAGAATAATACCCAAGTTTACATGAACATCAATCTGATGGACACCCTAAAAACTCAACTGTACAAACAAATACTTCTGAATGGTCTTTTCAAGAAAAGAGTTATTTTGACAGGGGTAGATAATTTTATGAGGAATTTTGAACTAAACCCTGTTATAGAGCCTTGTGACCGTGACAAGTTGTATCAAGAATTAGACACTAACAGGACCAGAGACTTGATATTTGGAGCTTTTAGGCAACATGTTAGTTATGGAAATTTTAATTTCCCAGCTCTTCTGCAGGATGTGTCATGCCAAATTGCACACATTTCATTTCATTATCGGTATCAACCAACTGAAGGCATTCTTTCTATAGATCTGGATGGAACAAAGGTTCAAGCTTATGTAGAATTTGCTAACTTGAAATTAGCAGGTTTAAATGCATTGCCTCCACTTAGAATAGAGGAAATAGCTCCAGTTTATATGAATCTTGAGTTTAAATGTGTTGCCCATCTTGTTACTACAGTTGGATGTGTTCAGTATGTTTGCACCAACATTTATTCTAAGCATCACAAGTTTCAAGGGCCCCTTCCTGCTGTAAGTCCAGCAAAGTTATGCAATTATCAGTCTGCCATGAAAAGATTGTGTCCAAATGATCCTGTTTCTGCTTGTGTTACACAGACAGGTTCACTGAATATTGGTAAACCTGCAGGACCTGTAATTGAGTCTAGCGATTTTAGACAGACCTCAACGTGTAATATTTCCCAGTCTCAAAACTGTATTACTGACATAAAAAAGTTAGGCACTGTAAACACAGGAAAATATGATTCTTCGCCTCCTCATCACCACCTTGTAGATAAACCTCTTACTAATGATTCAGAAGCACTGAAGATTTTTGGGCAACAATTTCCTAGCAAAGAAATCTTTCCAAGAAGCTCCCACACTTGTAATTTGCCAATGTCCTCTACTTTAAAGAAACCAGTACAGTCGCCAGAAGATTATGATCCAGAGTCTGTGTATGATTCAGACTATGAATATTCTGAAACTCCAAACGAAGGGGCTCTAAACAAAGAAAAAAAATATGAAGACCTTACAGAATTTGAAAGACAAGTACATGATAAAAAAAAGACAAAAAAAGAGGAATTTCTACAGATGAAGAGAAAAGTCCGTTGGGCTAAACTTGTGTTACAAATTGAGGTAAAAAAGATTATGAGAAGTCCAAACAATTTTATTTGTACCACATGTGGATTTGAAGGGGGACTATCTGAAGCAGAAAAACATCTGAAAGAGGACATTCATTGGGATAACATGTTTGATGTTTATTGTAAAGAACTTGATACTGTTAAACCACAAACATTTGGAAATCAGAAAAGATTGATTGAAAATAACAAGAGCAAGCCCAAACCTCTGAATGTGTTTCAAAATAGTAGTGATGACGACTGTCTTGAGGGTGTTCTGGTTTCAGAGCCTGAGAATTCTTCAGTACAATCAACTCTAGATGTGAAAGTTAATAAATCCATCAAGTTTAAGCTTCAGTTTAAAGGCAATGATACTGAAAAAAGTGAATGCTTGAGAACAACATCTAGTATGCCTTCTCCTATCACAGCCTTTACAAATACTGGATCCAATATATTATTGCAAAAGACAGAAGCTAATATCTCTAACATCAATGTTAAGTGCTCATCAATTCAAGATGGTGGATTCACAGATGAACCTAAACAAGTAAGTGACGCCTTCAACATTTCAAAATCTCCACTTGTAAATTTTGAACTACCTGAGATTTACATGTTCACTGAAACTAAACTGTCAGAGATGGGAAACTTTCAAGGTAAAAATTCTCTGCTGAAGAAAGTTGGGGACTGTTTAGAAGGAGATGCTCAAACCTTAATAAAGTCAGAATTCTCTAATGTTGAAAAGAATATACTCAAAATTACTAATCAAGCTCATTATGTTTGCACGAAGATGAGCTACTTGGAGAAAGAGCTACAAAGTTCTAGAGTTCACTACAATGAGTGGTTTTGTAAATATTGTGGAATTTGTTCTGAAGGTCAGGAAATGGAGAAACATTTGAAGTCAAATTATCATTGGACAAAGGTAATAATTACAGCCTCTGGTCAAAACCAAATGAGTAAGTCATTGAAAACTGATTCTGATATAATTGAAGATGTGTTTGGCAGAGTAAGTTTGGTCCTAAACGAGGTAGTTGCCATCGTCTCATTTAGACATGAAAATTCTTCCCTTCATGCTGTATTGGATATTTCTGGAATAAATAATACTTCCAGCAGTAGAATCATTACATCAAAATCGGACAACATGCTTACAGTGCTTAAGAAAGGCTATCCTGTACGCATGAATTTATGCTGCTCTTGGAAGACGTCTCATAAGTTTTGGTACTATGCTACAGCAGCCCACATTGGAGATCAAGCTGATTGGAAACACCCACTTCCTAAACCTGAAACTGTGCAGTCAATAAAAGAGAATAAAATTAGAGAACCCATTTACATTGCTTCTACAAGCTTTGTCAAGGCCAATGAAGAACTGTTGATCAAGAAACTCTCTAGTTCTTATCCTGAGTATCTTTTCAACCAGTTGGTGAAAATTGTTTTAATATCTGATGATTATTGCTTGGGTGAGATAGAGAACATTGACAATGCACCTTTCTGTGTTATTACAAGAGCTCTGATAAAAAATAACAGTAATAATGGTGACATCAAGAAAGGGGAACTGTTCAAGATTGGGGCTTATTTATTGGATCATGAGTCTCAAGCACCTTATTTATGCCATGATTTCTACCCTTATTCAAACAGCAAATGCATTGAGCCAATAAGACATGCAGAACTAAAGCAGAAACAAATTGACGTTTTCTCTTCAATCATAGCTAGCTCTTCATTTGTTCAGCACAAAGATTTGAGAAGGTAATGTTTCTATAGATTTGTATTTTATATGAAAGCAATATTCGAGGAAGAATACTATGAATTATGTTTGACTTTCTTTAAGGATCTACAAATTATTCGTACATATTAAGGCTTTTTTCAAATTTGATTTCTTTTGAAACTGACATATCGTAAAAATGTATTAAAATGTCAATTGTCATTCAAAAATGTAAATGCACTTCACAATTTATATTTTTTAAAAAGATTTCTCAATTGTATATTTAATTAATTAAAAAAGAATATTCTTAGCCAGTGAAAACTCTATATGGTACTCTATTTCAAGCTATAAGGCTGTTCTTCAGTTCTAAGTTTGGGTTTAGGGGGTTGGAGGAGGCCGAGGACCCATAAGAGTCTGATTTGATTTGATTTTTTTTGCAGATGATATTGCCCGCTCGGTGAAACAGATCAATAATGGTATATGATTTTAGAAAATTAGTAAATTTTTTTTTAAGTTATCACTTATTGATTTAACCTTATCCCTGCTGGGGTACTTGAGAACCAGGATACGCTGGGGGGGGGCATTTAACCCCCCCCCTTTTCTGAATCGCATGTTTGATTTCCAAATATGAAAAATTGATTTTTTTGCAAGATATTGTTATATAGGAGAAATGTTTGCCAAAAAAAATGTCCAAAAAATGATTGAATATACATTTTTGAAAAGCACTTGACCATGTTATTCTAAATATGCAAAACTCTAAGCTAAATTTTAATTAACCTGATGTGTTTTTACGAAAATCTAAAAATGTGCAAATATCTTTTGATGCAAATAATTTTCAAAAATTTCTAATACACTAAGAATTGTCAAAATCTGACAAATATAAGTGGGTCAAAACAAAGATTTAGTATGTTACAGGAAAAAGTAGTCATTCAGATAGTGTGCCTATTCATTCAAGCAGTTTGTATAAAAGCCCGGTTTGAGACCTAAAAGGAGAGCTATGGGTACTTACGAAAAGTCAGAAAATTTCAACAGCCTGAGTCTAATACTTTTTGAGTTAGGTAAAAAACTACAGGGGGGGGTCAANAGGAATAGGGTTTAGGTTATCTGGTCATCAATGACTTGTTATCAGAAAAAAAATAATGGTAATACAGGGCTTTACAGTTTTAACTCAAAGGGATGTAGACGTAATTTCTAGTGACTCGTCATTCATAGATGGGTAATTCCTATACACAACGTGCGTAGCATTTTTCCCCTTTTTCTGTGTTACAGAAGCTATGGTGATTACAAGTTTACAAGCTTGAAAAGGGAAAATTTTCCCACATTATTAGCTGGTAAATGCCGGCCGCAGTTCTTCTTCTTCTTCTTCTGTGTTGATTCTCAGCAGTCCCGGTGGGACCATTATGAGAATTTCTGCCAGGCAATTAACTGTTCAGGACTTCTGCAAGGCTGGATTTAGATAGCAGCAACAGTTCTTGTGCATAGATACTCATCATATCGGGATTTGAACATGTTGATAGAGGTTGAACTTTTGACATGGGCTGGTAGTTTGTTCCATATATCTGGTACTCTGATACTAAAGAAATTCCTTCTGATTTCAGTCCTTGAAAAAGAGGATTCAAGGTTTGCTGGATCAGCATTCAACCTTGTTCTTCTGGTCTGGTTGATTTGTTTGAACCAGGTAGATGAGTCAACCCTGTCAAACCCATTTAGGATTTTGTAAGTTGCGATCATGTCCGTTTTTATTCTACGATCTTTTAGAGAGAGTAGTTTCAGTTCTTGAAGCCGATCCTCGTAATCTTAGCTTCTCAGCCCAGAAACCATGCGTACAGCTCTTTGTTGAATATGTTCGAGACAGTTTATATCTGCTTGGGTCCAGGGTGACCATGCTGGAGAACAAAATTCAAGGTGAGGTCTAACATATTGCTTGTAGAGGTTTATAAATACATGTCGGTCCCTGTAGTGGAATGCTTTTGTTATCATTCCTAGAGCAGCATTGGCCTTCCTGGCTGCTTCAGAGCATTGTTTAGAGGGTTTTAAATTGTTGCTAATTGTTACACCAATGTCACGTTCTGTATCAGACTCTGATAGTTTTTCACCATTCATAAAATACTCTGCTTTTGAATTATTTCGTCCAATATGCATAACCTTGCATTTTTTAACATTGAAGAGCATTCCCCATCTAGAGGCCCAACTACAAATTTGGTTTAGACATTCTTGGAGATCAGCTCTGTCTTTGTCATTGATAATTGTTTGCCCTAACTTTGTATCATCAGCGAATTTTTTGATTAGCTTGATCAGGGTAGCAGCTCCATCTATATCATTAATGAATATTAAGAAGGCTAGTGGTCCTAGAACTAAAGAGTTAATCTTTGTTAACAAGATAAGT